GGTGATACAGTAGTTTTGTTAATAGTATCCCAACTTACTTCATTCCCTTCAGGTTCTGATAAAATAGGCTTAAAATGTCATGATTCAAACAAATACTATTATTTTTTACGCAGAGAATTAAGGGACCCTAAGACATGTGACATGCAATAAACACTACTATACAACAAACCAATGACAAACAAAGAAACATTAGGAAATTTCCTAGCTTATGAAAACTCTGATCAGAATGTTCAGTTAGAGACAGTGGGAAGACATTTATTTCACATTTCCCTCCACATTCTAAAATAGTTTGTTAGATTAGCCTAAAGTAGTTTAATTGATTGTTATGAAGTGCACACATTCTTTGGTGAGAGATTAATCACTTTAAATTAAAAGCGGAACTTTATACAATGGGGCAACAGTGATTTAATGAGAGTTGGACAGTAATTTATATTAATTTAACCAGCAACTTCAAAATCTTGTGGAGGAAAATGATTTATCTTTGGAGGAGATACACTACATTTGGATAAATAGGTGAAATATAATAGCACTCGAGTTAAAAATATTTATGCTTTAGATACTAAAGAGATGGTATTCCTTAGTGCTAAAGTTTTGAGATAGATAGGTCTTTTCCTGTTAATAAAATTCATCATGGCACTAATGAAGTTAACATACTCATTCCTGTTTAGGGTGAAAAAAATTATGAAAGGAACACAATGAGGACATTTCTCATTTTTTGCTTATTTTGCTACTTCAAGTGTTCTCACTGTTTCTTCCTGTTAGACAAATGAATATTTTAACATGTTCTAATTAAAAAAAATATATCAATACTTTAGGACAATGATGACATCAGTTTGGTTTCATGAACTTAGCAACTAATAATATTCTATAAAACCTTGTATTCATCAAATAATGTAAATAAAGAAACTATCTCAGTGTCCTAACGTGCTATTTATCATAATCCTCAGTGAGACTTGTTTGTTTGTAACATGTACTTAACTTTTAGAACTTCACTTGGTCGGGAGGCAGATTAAAGTGTCCCACAGAAAAGACCCAAAATGATTTCTCTCACTTTCGTTCACAAAAGGAGGTAGGATCTTCTTCACATTCTTTGTTTTCCCCATTTAGAAGTTATTCACATAAGACGCTGGTACCTAGATACCAAGACTACGTTCTCAATATTTCAGAAAGATTTTGCACAAATTGTTTTATGTTCTTAACATACACCAAAGCTTACTCATCTAAAATGCTCTGTCTGCTGGCTGAATTGCAAAAGAAGAAACTCAAGCATGAGCTCCCTAATTACCTATATTGCTAATCTATTTGTTAATCTCTTCCCATCACAAAATAAGCCCTGCTTCTATAATATTCATGAATTTTTCCCCTGCAAAGGTTGTCCTGACAATTCCTCAAAATGCCTATTCACAACTCTATCACAGGGTCAAGAATACTTTATTACTCTCATTTGTTCACACATGTATATCTCCTCCTGGACAATAAGGCCTGAAAGGACAAGGTCATATTTTATTCATTTTTATGTTCCCATCAACTAGCACAAGGCTTGGCATCCAATACAAGGTCAATAAATTTCTGCTTTACTAAATTTTAATAAAACAAGCCAACGATTAAAGTTCCAGATAATAGAGAAATCACACTTGGTTAAGTCAAAGAGAAAACGCCTGAAAATCTTCTTTCCTAAATAAAACTAGTTAATAATAAGGGTTAATATGTGCTAAGTTCTTAGCATATCTTATGCTCTGTTATAAACACTATATATGTTTTGAGTTTGTCTTTGTTTTTTTCCTCATTTATTTCTTGCACAGTCTGAAATTACACCCATTTTACACATGGAAAAGCTGAGCCACAAAAACTTCAATGAACTTGCTCAAATACATGTCACCATCTAAGAAGTGCTGGAGCCAGGATCAGTGCCCGCGGCCTCAATCTAGAGCCTGCTCTTAATGGTATATCCCCTGCCTTCATTGATAGGAGAAAGAATAGATGCTTTGATGCCTTTACCACCCCCGCGCCAGCCCTGTGTTTGCTCGGCTCCAGGCACTGTACAAAGTCCCCAGGATACAAAGGTGAGTAAGACTGAGGCTCCTTTTTACCCCTGGTCTCTTTCTTTCTCAGAAACATATGAAAGTCTCTCTTAAAAAAAAAAAGACACACTCAAACACATACAAATAGGTGTCTTTTTCCTTTCACTGCCAAAATTCTCACCTTAGCAACCAATAAATGTTGGCTCCATTACCTCACGGCCACTTCAATCTCTAATTACTTCCAGCCCAGGTTCTGTCTCCTTCACTCACTGAAAACTCTCTCAAAAAATTCCCTAATGGCCTTATTATAATTGTCAAATCCAATGGCCTCTTCATGGTTTTCAATCTACTTAATTTATCTGTAGCACTGATGATCCTCATACCTAATCAGATTCCTTGGCTCCTAAAATTCAATCAGATACAAGGGCTAAAAGGAAGTAATGCCAAATAATAAAGAAACCTTAGGTATAACTGAGTCCAACACTTCACTTTACAAATGGGAAATCTATGGCCTAAAGAAGATAAGTTCGCTCAAGGTCATATCTTGAGTCAGACACAAAGCCATGGTTAAAATTTAGAGCTATCTCTCCAAAGACTATCAATACCTTCCTTAATATAGGTCTTTCTTTCTACTTCTCCCAAACCTACATCTCAGGCTTTAATATCTGTGGTAGGCAGTCTTAAAATGAACCTTAACGATTCTTGCCTGCAGGTAGCCACACCCTGTGTAATCCATCCCCTTTGAGGCTAGACTGGACTTACTGACTCACTTCTAACAAAGAGAAAATGACAGAAGTGATAGACTATCACTTCCAAGATTAGATAATAAAAACAGTGTAGCTTCCATCTTAGGCACTCTCTATTTTGTTTGGCTCATTCTGGAGGAATTAAGCTACCATGTCATGATGTAGCACTGTAGAGAGGCCCACATGAGTAAGCTCGCATGTGGCTTCTCCTTCAGTTGAACCATAAGGTGAGACTGCAGCCCTGGCCAACAATTTGACTGTAACCTCATCAGAGACACAGAGCCAGAAGCACTCAGCCAAATAGCACTCAAGCAAAGATAACTAATACAACATCTAATCTTGAGACTACTGTAATAGTTCAAGTATTCTCCACCCCAAAGCATTTTGTATTTTTCTCCTCCTTCATCTTTCCAACATCATCACATGGACCATGTTTTTCTATTCATCAATGTCTCATAAGCAATGTCTTAAACATAATAGCCGACCAAGGATACATTAAAAACACTAAATCTAGTACTCAAAGCCAACCACAATCTACCACTTTGTGCTAACTGGTTTACTGTTTCTCAAATATATCTAGTGATTTCCTTCTACCATTTGTGATCATGACATTTGAGACCTTAGAATAGGAATCAAAATCTTACAAAAATGTTCAGAATTATCCAAAACTCTGTTCAGTAATGCCTATATTTACCACTTCTGCAAATCCAATAAATCATTGTTACCTAAATGCTTCTGTAAATCAGATAAGAACTACCCTGTTTTATTGGTTTTTACTGCTAGTTTCAATTACTACTTAAGTGTTTTAATACAGTGCTATGGGATTCCAGATACTTTTAAGATAACTTCCAGATCCCAAAATTGAACATATTCTCTTTCTTAAAGTGAATTCTGCCTCAGAAGGTACTTGGAATCAAGATTTTTCTCCCTAGCCGCTTTCAAAAATCAGTTTTTCTGATTATATGAAAAGAAGACTTTCCTCTCAGCTGTCTTGAATCTTACTATGAATTACTGTCTAAAAGTGTGAAAAACAAAGTAATTAGAAGGAAGAAGTTGACTTTAAATTACCCTTACCTAGTCAGTGTATATAATCAATAATGAAAAATAAAGCATCCAGCTGGTAGAAAGCATACCCATTGTTTTAGACTATTGTTTTGTTTTGTTTTAACAAATGAGACACAATGAAATTAATTCTTATTGGGGTATAATCATGATAAAACTATACTCTCTTCTTTTCCTTCCTAGGCATACTTAGTTAGGGCCCTTGGACTTCTCAAACCAATCATCCATAACTATACCCCAAATGAATTCCCAAATGACATATTCTCTTGGCACTTGTATTTTGTTCAATATTCTCACGCTGTAAACTACAAATGTCTTGGAAATGGATAACATTTAGAACTTAGAAGATTCATATGGCCAAACCTATTTATCATTTTTTCTTACCACATCAACCTCAAAAGAGTGACTAAGAATATTCTTCAGGGGATAAAATAGTACTAGGACGACAAAAAAGCAAGTTTTAATATAAAACTGGATTTGAAATGTCTGAGAGCATAGGCTTCAAATGAAATGACAGACTTGAAGTGCACACGTGTGCATACAGACACACACACACACACACAAAGTTGAAACTGCCACACTGACCAAGGCTTCTAAAGAGAAATCTATGGGCTGTGAGAGCTTATAAACAGAGGTGTTTACTCAGGAAAGTCTTCCCGGTACGCAACACCTACTGTGTGCTCAGCTCCATTCAAGACACTTGGCAAAGGTTAATTTGTTTAATCCTCATGCTAATTCTTTAACTTACACACTATTATTATCACATCTTTTACGATGAAGATACTGAGGTACAGAACAATTAAATAATTTCCCAAGAAGACATCACTGTTCACAAGACACACAGTGGCAAAAAAAGAGATTCAAACTAGGCAGGCTGCTTCTAGAGCCTGAACTCTAAATCACAAGGCAATACTGCCCTTCTAAGATCTGAGGGCTGAGTGGAATCACTTAGGCGTGATGGTAGCTGGATCTCCCATTAAGAACAGAGAAAATTCCAATACTCTAACACTCTCTGGAATTAGGACAGAGTTATATGACAAAACCCAACCAAGTAGAACGGACAGTCCAGAACTCTGAGTCTAGCTCAAGGGACACAAAGAAGTAGGAAGAGTTTAATTACAACTTTTTAATATACTTTAGTGACCTGTGTTACTTTTATCTTTCATTTTACCTGAGAAATGCGGAGCTCTGTCCGTACAAAAGGGTGGTGGTGTTGATAGTCAATGACTCAAGTAGAGAAGTTAGGTGCCCTTTTTTCCCTGGTTCAGTCTGCCATTCATTCTCGTTATGCCAGCCACTGTAACAGAGCCTTTATTATAAAGTCCATTAAACAAGAAACAATGACTCCTCACAATTGTGAATAATTATCCTAATCCTATTTCCAGCCTCTATTGCAAGAGTCTCAGTTCTCCCCACTATTTGCAACCTGCAGATGCATAAGTCACCATTATTTTGGACAAAGAGAAAGAATTTTTAACTCAGTTGAGGTTAGGGTTTTGATAAAGTAAAATCTTATCTAAACTCTAATCGTCCTCTATACAAAAGAATATTTAGGACATCCTGAAAAAGACTTTTAGAGAAAAATGGTTCCTTTGAGGGTGATCTGACACAAGCAGACTTGTTGAAAAAAAAAGAGATCCCTCTCTAGCCATCTAGCATTGCTATTCCAGCTGCACCTCATAATGATTCAGCAAAGCCACAAAGTCAGGAAAACACGGCTAAAGCTGAGCTACCAAGTATTTATATGGCTGGCAGTAAAACACAGACACGGTTTCACAAAAAGTTACCTGACTATTGCTTAAGAGATGGTGGCAACTATATGGGTGGGGGTTCAGGAGAAGGAATGGAAGAAATTACGCCAGTGGTAACTGTTTTCCAACAATGAGGTTTTTACTTTGTTTTATTTCCTTTTATGTTTAATTTCTTTGCAGCACCTGTTGCAATATATGCTGGAATGATTTAGAGAGCTGTTAGCCTAAAGTGATTTTTATAACTATAAAGACTACAGGGGAAAGCGTGTTAGAGCCTGGCTATTTATTGATTCTCCAGCACACAAGTAAAAGAAAGCAATATGTGTATGAATGTGTCAGAATGTAAGTTCACATATGCTAAATTACTTAATCCTAAATTACTGTGCATTATACATTGCATAGAACTATTGTATGTGGACTTTTTACAAAGCAATATTTTATGAGGACAGCAATAGATGTTCAAAGAAAAAAGACAATTTGAAATAGTTAGGAGTTTTCCATCAATATTCAATGCAGTCATTTTAAAGTTTCCTCAGGTCATAAATCAATCATCATTAAAAGCTGGAAATATTTGAGGCTGGCCAGGTGGTGTACCGGTTAAGTTCACACATGCCACTTCGGTAGCCTGGGATTCGCCAGTTCCAATCCCAGGTGCGGACCTAGTAGCACTTATCAAGCCAGGCTGTGGCAGGTATCCGACATATAAAAGAGAGGAAGATGGGCACAGATGTTAGCTTAAGGCCAATCTTCCTCAGCTAAAAGAGGAGGATTGACAACGGATATTAGGTAAGGGCTAATCATTCTCCAAAAAAAAAATCTGGAAATATTTTGAAGCTCATACAGAATGATAATGAAACTGTTAAAATATTTAGAAGAAGGTGAAATATCAAATATTAATGAAAAAATCATTAATGAGGGAAAAAAGTCAATGTGATTGTCAGTCAATTAGTTTGCTAAGAAGGAAACTGAGTTCCACTAAAACCTCTAAATCCGTTTGCTCTAATAAGGAATTACTTAGAAATGTTTCCATCACACCCAATATTTAATAGAAGCACCAAAATTCAAGTGGTTACTATTCTTCAACAATAAGGTTTTAACTTTATTTTACTTTTTGTCCTATTTGGGTTGTATAAATACTGAACATCTAAAAAAGGAAATCAAATGTCTCAGAAATAAGCATTTCCAAAGATACATTAGCAAGTTCTCAGAGCTATAATTTAAGACTCAAATTTTTCACATCCAGACAGCACCATCAAGGCTTGTAAACTAGTTAAAAGAATTATAGATCAACCGCCATATAAAAAGGAAATAAATAAGAGGTATATTTCTGTAAATATGGGAGATAGTTGGTTTTAAAAACGTACTTCATAGTTTTACTTAGGAGACTGACCCACTCATATAAATGTTCAGTATAATTTTTCCCTAAACTTGAATATACTCAGAGAACATTCGCTTGAGTAAAATAAGAGCTTGTAGGTTAACACTGAATATTCCAGAAGGTGCTCATATCTTTTTTTAAATTTAAGGAATATTTGTACTCCTCACCGTGATTATTTCAAGAATCACACAGTTTGTTCTATCAAAGAAGTCAGATCCTCTCTTTACTTTTTACATTACATTTAGGAAGCATATTGAAGTAAGTGATTATTGACTGTTAGAGTTTAGAGGACAAAATGACATCAATCGTGCATGCTTTAGATAGCACCATAAGAGGTTTTTTGTTTCCAAAGCTCTAGCTTCCTCTTATAAAAGAGGCATTTTGACCAGCTAAATTATTCCAAAGTTTCAAATTCGAGCATTTGCCTCACACTAATTTACTGACTAACGCTTGGTAAATCACATCTAAGGTAACATCCTGTCTTTTCTCCAATCCACCCACCCCAACACACACAGAGAAATACACATTCTTTTCTCTGGATACCTGTGTTCTTCTCCATGTTCCTTTCAATCTATTAGCTGAGATATCATGGCATATTTGCCTTAACCAAGTTCTACTCTTTCCTCCCTTTGATAGAGGCCAAAGGTGTGACAAACACATTAGGTAAGTACAACACAATTTTATGCAATGATTACAATATTTTTCCCTAGCATAGATATCAATTCAGTGATTAAAAAGACAGAGAAAAACAGACAGACATGCAGCCACAGTCACGAATAAAAAAGAGAATGTATGTATGGATTCATAAATATTTTCATTGTTTCAAAAATCAAAAATATACATGAGAGAAAATGAGAATTAATCATCAAAGATTTTTTTAAATAAAAAATGGAAGTTGTTGAAGGAAAGCAAGATCTACAAATGGCAAAATGAAGTGTTAAATCATTAGGAGGTGATTTAGCTCTATTCACACAAACTGTGACAACGACACTACAAATCACTTCTACTCCAGAGTTTTTCAATTTCAAATGAGGTGCCTTTCTTTGCCACATTTTTTAAAGAAGTTATTCCTCAACTACATCAATCTTCATTTCATTTATTTATTCATTTATTTATGTGTCCATACCTGAAATGTAATCAAACTTCTCATTCATTTGTTCATTCATTCAACAGCTATTTATAGAGTAGCAGACACTGGATTTCTTCAGCTAAACATATGTTAAGCACTAGAATTCTTTCAATGTATGGTCCACAATACCATAAAAATAATTTCAAGAATAGAGCATGGAAGTCAAATGTAACAGTAATATTCTCAAGTGCTTCAGGCAGTTATCAAGCTTCACTGATAGGTGAAAGAGATTGGAACAAAACATATCTAAGATAAAATGCTTTTCTCCATTACCATTTTAATGTGCATAGCTCTATTATGGGCATTAAAAATTTAGTACCATCATGTGCCACATAATGACATTTTGGAGCACATATACAATGGTGGTCCCATAAGATTAGTACCACATATTTTAGGCATCTCGTAGACTATACCATCTAGGTTTATGTAAGTAGTATAAAGGAGGAAGAAATTTTCCCCTACCCTTCTAGGTTCTTTTAGCTGGTCTAAGAATTAAATTGACATGATACAGATAAACAGGAGAAAAAACAAACAAAACTTAAATTATGTATACGTGGGATAAACCCCGGAAAACGGAGTAACTCAACAAAACGGCCCTCACCTTAAATATTGTCCTCAACTAAAGACAAATGAAGATGTTGGGGGAGAGTCAAGAACTTCACAAGAAAGGGAGGTAATTCACAGGTAGGTGAAATGGAGCAAACACTTGGAAAACAAGTGTTTGGCCACACAAAAACAGAAGTTCGTTCGCACGAGGACGAAATCACCTAACAATGCATTTTTCAGAATGCACTCCTGTCATTAAGCAATGTGTAACTGCACTGCAATTATTTATTTATGTAACTGTTCCTTGTGCTTATCTCTTGTCTTTGAATTCCTCCAGGCCGTGTCTTATTCATTTCTACATGCCCAGGACCTAAACCAAAGATTGGTACAGCAGGTAATTATCACAAGGTTGATGAATAAATCAACTCATACATATAGTTTTAAAAATCTTACTTTTAAAATGTGTGGTTTCTAGTTTTTGCGCAGTGTGCTAAGTGCCTTAAACACATTTTTTTTCATTCAGTCTTTACAACAGTTTTATAATTTAGGTATTGTCATCTACGTTTTTTAATGTGGCCACTCAAAATCAAAAAGAGACAAGGAGCTTATCTAAAATCACCAAAGCTGACATTCAAGTTGGGATCTGTTCGATTTTAAATTCATTTTTGAAATTTTTTTTTTAAGATTTTTTAATTTTTTTCCTTTTTATCCCCAAAGTCCCCCAGCACACAGGTGTATTTTTAGATGTGGGTCCTCCTAGTTGTGGCATGTGGGACATCACCTCAGCACAGCTTGATGAGCCGTACCATGTCCGCACCCAGGATCCGAACTGGCAAAACCCTGGGCCACCAAAGCAGAGCGCACAAACTTAACCACTAGCCCACAGGGCCAGCCCCTAAATTCTTAAATAATAAGTTTTCCAAAATTATTACTGGTTTAGTCAAACTTTTATTGGTTTAATAACACAGGAAGACATCATTCATTCAACAAATACTTATTCAGTGACTACTTTCTACCAGGCATTCCAAATTCCAAGTCTGGAGACACAGCAGGGAACAAAGTGGGCAAAGCCTCTGATCTTACAAAACTTACAGTCTCCTGAGGATATTTAATTCTCTAAATAGTACTGAGTCCACTCTTGGCAATTTAATGGCATAAATAAGGCCATGTAAAACACACTCATGCATAATCTGATTTATGCTCCCTGTTCCACCAACAAGACCAACTATAATTTCTACAATGGAATTATCTAGTGGACATTTTATTCCTGACACCCATGTCAAATACTAATGACACAAAATGTTTAGGGCTTTTTTAAAACTACCTTTCAAATAAGAAAATAATATGGCAAGTTGAAATACATTTTACAGTCATTTTAGAGGTGAGAAACTTCTCAAGGCTTTGTTTGCTGACACTAGTTAATGGATGAGATAATCTAGAAATAAAATTGAAAGTGATCAGTTAGTGGAAATTATTTTAAATGTTATTTTCAA